GTGAAGAATCTTGTCCTCAGAGTGAAGAACCTTGTCCTCAGTGAGAAGAACCTCGTCCTCTAAGTGAAGACCCTTGTCGTCAGAATGAAGAACCTTGTTCTCAAAGTGAGGAACTTGTCCTTGTAGTGAAGAACCCAGTCGTCAGAGTGAAGAAACTTGTCCTCAGTGCGAGGAACCTTGTCTTCAGAGTGGAGAACCTTGTTCTCACAGTAAAGAACCTTGTCCTCAGAGTGAGGAACCTTGTCCTCAGAGTGAAGAACCTTGTCCTCAGAGTAAAGAACCTTGTCTTCAGACTGAGGAACCTTGTTCTCAGTGTCAGCATCTTTGTTCTCTGTGTGAGGAACATTGTCCTCAGAGTGAAAAACATTGTCTTCAGAGAGATCAACCTTGTCCTCAAGGTGAGTAACCTTGTCTTCGGTGTGAGGAACCTAGTCTTCAAAGTGAAGAAACTTGTCCTCAGAATGAAGAACCTGGTCCGCAGAGTGAAGAAATTTGTCCTCAGAGTGAGGAACCTTGTTCTCAGTGTCAGCAACTTTGTTCTCGGCGAGAGGAACCTTGTCCTGAAGGTGAGGAACCTTTTCTTCCGAGTGACGAACCTAGTCCTCAGAGCGAAGAACCTTGTCCTCAGAGTGAAGAACCTAGTCTTCAGAGTGAAGAACCTTGTCCTCAGAATAAAGAACCTTGACCTCAGAGTGAGGAACCTTGTCCTCAGAGCGAAGAACCTTGTCCTCAGTGTGAGGAACCTTGTTCTCAGAATGCAGAACTTTGTCCTCGGACTGAGGAACCTTGTTCTCAGCGTCAGCAACTTTGTCCTCAGTGTCAGGAACCTTGTCCTCAAAGTGAGGTACCTTGGCCTCCGAGTGAAGAACCTAGTCCTCAGAGTGAACAACCTTGTCCTTACAGTGAAGAATCTTGTCCTCAGATAAAGAACCTTGTCCTCAGAGTGAAGAACCTTGTCCTGAGAGAAAAGAACCTTGTCCTCAGGGTGAAGAACCTTGTCCTCAGAGTGAAGAACCTTGTCCTCAGAATGAAGAACCTTGTCCTCGGAAAAAAGAACCTTGTCCTCAGTGTGAAGAATCTTGTCCTCAGATTGACGAACCTTATCCTCAGAATGATGAACCTTGTCCTCAAAGTGAGGAACCTTGTCCTCAGTGTGAGGAACCTTGTCCTCAGATTGAAGAACCTTGTCCTCAGAGTGTCGAACCTTGTCCTCAAAGTGAGGAAACTTGTCCTCAGCGT